GTCTCTAAGGCAACTGTTTTCTACTGAGTTGGTTCCCTTGAGATATTTAAATATGGTTCAAAAGGCTTTTGGATCCTTGTGGTCTGCTTGTATGTTGTTAGATAGTTGATTTCATTTCTGATTGTACTTTATTTTTCACCTTTCTTTTAATTCCTCTTTGTGGTTTCTATAAAATACTGTGGTCTGTGGGTTCCAGCCATGTGCTTTTATGAATTCGTGTATGTTGGTGAATCTGGTTGGATGTTGTTTTTCATAGCTGTTGTGATTATTATATACCAAGTTTGTAAGGCCATATTGATCTTGTTTGTGTTTTTGTTGTGGAGTTGTATTGTGTCGTCGGTGTTGAGGGGTATTTTAAAATTTTCCCAGTTTGTTCTATTGAATGAGTGTCTTGGTATCGAGGGAATTTTGTATTGGCGACGTGGAGAACGTTGCTATTATGGGTAGGTGGTCACTGGTGCTGCTGGGTCCAGCTTTTATGTGTGTGTGTGTGCGTGTGTAAATGGTGGTGTCTGTTGGTCAGAATTATGTCGAGTTCCCGAGCTTCCCGCCGTTATAAATGTGTATAATGCTGCCTTGTTCGATTAGGTTATGCAGAATTACTCCAACTGGATTTCTGTTGTGGTGCTCAAGGGTTGGGTGTCGAGCATTCAAATCTCCTAGAGAGTATGCCGGGCTGTTTCGTCTGGTTAGTTTTAGGAATATTGGTCTTCTGAATGGTAGGTATGATGTTCCTATTGTTATTGGTCCTTTGGTGGTGTTTGTTACTACTGTCAGGAAAGTTACTTTGGAAGTTATCAATTATTTTGTATCGGATCGTTCGTTTAATTGCAATTGTTGATCTCTTACGTATCTTTAATTAGTAAAGGAACGATTGTAAGGGTGTTAAAAGAGTACTTTGTGTGTGTGTGTGTGTGTGTGTGTGTGTTGGTCGATATGGAACATAAACTCAAACGGTAGTCATTGATTATTTTCTTACATAGTTCATTCGGTATTACATGGAAAATTCGTTATATACACCATTCGTCACCACGATACAATGATTACATCAAAATAATAGATCAGAAAAAACCCTCCCATTGTCGCCTGTGACAAATGAATATGAAATGTTGCGTTAACACCGAAAGTGTTGCCAACATGTTTCCATTTTAATAAAAGAGGTGGACAGAAGTCTGAAGTCTCTTCCACCACGTACAATTTATTTAAAAACATATTCAACATATATTGTTACCTTCATACTGGTTTCAGAAAATGAAATGTCTGAAATATCAACTGATCGAAAATTTCTTAAATGACACAAGTGTCAAACACTGATTTCGGTACGTTATCAAAGACCAGCCAATTCACACTTCTCGCATGGCCCTGATCTCTTTACAGATAAAAATTAGGTGTAGCTTATAGAAAGGGAATTGTTGTGCTTAAAAAAAGTCGTATTTTTATTTACATTTCACCATCCTTACACAACTAGACGTGACATGCATCTCGGCTGCTGAGACAGATTGTAAACACTCTTTTTATTATTACCTGTTTTATTTCCTCTATTAGTATAGTATAGTAGATTGTTCGAGCAAGCAACAAGCACATGTGAATAAAGAATCATGCAATTAACGTCAAACCTCCTCTTGTTTACACTATGGCCAAAGTTTAACAGGAACAGTATGAATGTTGTTTGCATAATATACTTAAGCCTCACTTGAGTGTAAATAGTTCGTCATTCACGGATACCATTACTGTATATATAAGCTTTGGGTAGAGTTCCCTTAACTTGGCCTATATATAAATAAGTTGAGGGGTTAAGTTACAAACCCAAAATGGTCTTTTTCCATTTATTGGTAAAAATATTTTGGTCACAGTCTATTAGTAGATGCACCGTAATTAACACTGTAACCTGTGAGTGTTAGTTAAGGATGGGGGTTCAGCTTGACTGAGTTAGGTCATCCGTCCGATTCTCGTGAGACCCAAGTGAAGAAGACTGGTGCCTGTGAGGGGAGGTCCTGAAGGAGAGACTGGGCTAACCCTACATTCTCAAGGTCGGCTTACTGATAGAGGAATTTCCCCTCACGTGAACAGCACATGGCACCTCACAGCTTATGGAAAATTACAGGAGGGTGATTGGATTATATAAATTAAATGTATTAACCCAAATTTATATAACTGTTATTGCCATGAGACAGGGGCTAATACATGTAGGTAGAGGGGCACTTGCCTCCACTTCCCACCCCACATTATCTTTACGTCACTTCACCTCGGTATACCACTGTCCACTTGGCAAAAGATATGCTCTAATAAGAGTCTATTTAATGCATATATTATTAAACATATAAACATTCCACAAATCTTGACATTTATATACTTGTTTTAATATTTTTTTTTACTCCGATTCCATAATATGTTTACTGTTACGTGTTTCCTATAACCAAATGCATTGCTGCCACACTGCAGAAAACATGACGAGCTCCTGTAAACACACTAGTGAGGGAGCTTGTACAGTCCCCCCAAAAAAGTATCGTTATCCATGGGGTCGATGGGATTAGAGGCTTTCCTAGCAATTTGTCTGAAAGGTTGGTACTTCTACATCAGCGACCTTTGAGCATGAACGAGGATCTACGTTTTCGAACGATACATACAGTAATATTGCTTAATGGATTTCTTATTGTATTGAAGTATCTACTGTAGCATGCAATTCAAGGACGATTTCTTTCCTCAATATTAACCCTTACCTCTCGATGTTGCAGGCATACCAACTTATGATGATGCACTGGGATCATATCAAAGCATTATGTATTGCGTTTCAAATTGTAGTGACGGAAAATTTAACGAAACTTTTCGGGGGGACTGTATTGCTGCTGCACTTTGGGATAATGACTCAATATGAAATTTTTTCTCTATCATTCGTATTGGAAACTTCCCATGCTTGTTTCGAAACATCTAATTAGCTCCACAGTTTCGAATGTCGTCATAATGGAAACCGGCCCAACGACGTTTTACTATTGGCTCAATAATTCCAGAAAATCTAGTATTGGGGTTATGTTTGTTTTAAGTGGCTATGTGTTAATAAACCTCTCAGAGTTGAAGTTTTGCATTCCTGGCGTGATCGGCTCATACAGCAAGGGAACCTCACAGGCTACGCGAGGAGCTATTATCGCCCTTCACCGGGAGGGCATCGATATTTCCGAAACTGCTCGGGGGACTGGCGTTACAAGACCTATCGTCTTTCTATGGATTAAGCGACATGAGGAAACTGGCGCTTCGGAGGAAATGCACAACTCATGAGGAGGGGCCAGGTGATGAATTTATTTTGAAATAAGAAAGTTGCTGAAATAAATGGAGTACGAGTACGAGTATGTATGTAAATCGCCATAATTACTTCACAGGACTTACGCATTTTTTACGTCTTTCACCCAGGCCATTGCATCTTCCAGTACTGCTGATTCATTCAGTCCTGCAGTCAGCATTCGCAATGACCTTGGTCTAGCAAGCACCCCTCAAACTGTTCGCAACAGGCATCACTCTAATGCAATGCAATGGTCGCATACCACCGTTTCTCTGTGGATGTCGATCACACTAGAATAACCCGTTGTAGTATATCCTTCTTTCCTCACACAGCCAAACTGTGGAATGCTCTACCTTCTTCTGTGTTTCCATACTTATACAATCTGTCTCACTTTAAAAAGCTGGTTTTCCGGTATCTTCGTGGTGTAGATTTACACAGTATAACCTTTTTCTTCTCTATTTTCAATTTCTTTCTGTTCTTTTTTTTTCGCCCCCCCCAGGCTCCGTTGTGGGTCGTTTGACCTGTGGCCGGGTGGGCTTATTCCCGTAAAAAAGGAAAAGAAAAAAAAGAAGACAATCCCGAGGGCATAGCTGCAGGGGGCGGTTACACCAGGTATTGATATAATAAAAGAGACCTGCCATTATTGTTTTCCTTACCCAGAAGTAAACAAAACATAGAAATAAATGACTGGGATACATGACTGGTATATGCTTTAAAAACAAAACAAAATTATTCTATCATGATCTGTATGGCACATATGCACAATATTACCATCTGCCAGATGGGTAAATCAAGTAAAAACGTTTATTTAAGTGTTAAGTCATTGCAGCCTATCCACCTTGACAAGTGGTTTCACATGTCAATATTGAGTTATCAGGAAGCGGTAACTGATACAATGTGATAATAACATTTACTTGAGAGTGGTGATTATTTGTAGTGATAAGCATCCACAATGGTTTAGGCCGAAACGCTAAGAACAATATCAATTACTTTACACACTGTTGTCAGTATACAGAGGTCTTAAGCTTACTAAATTATCTCTCTGCAAAATAATCAGGGTCAGTTCACATACAATATATACATTCATTATTCACGATGTCAGGATATGTTGTCAGCACTCATTATTAGGGTGCTACAACACCGATCAAAATACAAGGGGAAATGAGGCATAGGGTTCTGATCAAGTTACAGGTTGTGTTAGTGTAGCAGCACTAACTCTGTTACCTCGTCTCAGAATACCGATGACTTGTTTCGAGCACGTGTAGCCGCACCCTTAGACACCCAGGGCTACCAATGCGAGGAATGCATCATAAGCCTGTATCAAACCTCTCGTTCATGGTGTCAGTTTATTTCGCACGGGAGTTGTAAAGGTAGTTTTTTTTATCAGGTGCACATCTCCATGCAAAATTTCAGTCCTCTATCTCCATAACAGTAGCTATGTATAGCGAGTATCCTTAAAAACACAAAAAAGATGCTGTTTTACGGACACACACACACACACACACACGCCAAATATTTTATAGAACTATTACAATGTATTGCAAGTAATAGTTCTAACCATCTGTGATATTACTAAGTGCTGTAATGAAGAGAGACAGTGGTACTTCCGAATTGATGTACAGGATGTCCATAAATGATTACCCTAATTAAAGCATGAGAGCATACTGTTTTAGGGTAATCATTTATGGACACCCTGTATAGTAGATGCTTCAAGAAAACAACTTACCATTAACACGGGACTAGGTGTCTCAACAGTAGGTCCGGGACGTGGTAATTTCCTCAGCCACCACTCTGCATGTTCATGACCTGCCAATCTTGCAGAATCCATTGGTGTGTTGCCTGAGCTGTTCTTGGTGTCAGGGTTGAGGCCAGCTTGCACCAGGATCTGCATCGCCTCCACATTCCCATTCATTGCTGCACAGTGAAGTGCTGTTGATTGCGACTTATCCCGTGCATGACGGTCACAGCTGGCTTTGTTGAGTAACTGCTTCAGAACTCTTAAGCTGTTACGAGTCGCAGCAAGGTGCAGTGATGTGCCCCCCCACTTATCTTTAGAGGTAATATCTGCATTGGCTTTAAGGAGCATCTCTACGCTTGGCTCGCTGTCTGCATCTATTGCCACATGCAGGGCAGTCCAACCTGTGCCAGAACCCACCAAGTTTTGTATAATATCTTCCATATTAATAACACAAATTAAATTTATGAAAATGTTATTGTCAATAAGATCTACATCTCCATATACATACTTGTTCACGAAACTTACTGTACACACACACATACACACACACACACACACACACACACACACACACACACACACACACACACACACACACACACACACACACACACACACACACACACACTCAAACATATCAGTCAGCTCTCATAGAATCAACACGTGTCCTATAGGCGCTGCCTGGCAGCCTGTTCAGCCTGTTGGACTCCTGCCCCTCTGTACACCCTGCCTTCCCCCATCTCTTTATCAACCTCACTACACCGGGATCTATCAGCAAAACATTCAAGTGATCAGTGCAAGGATTGGTTATCAAACAGTGATCCAATAGTGTATCCCAAGAAAAAAAAACAAAGGTGATTTACGTTAACAATCACCAGTATAGTACTAACCCGTGGGTACTTTGTCGGGGACCCTCAAAGTGCCAGAGACAAGGACTGCCGCGGTGTTTACGACTAGACAAGTATTTACAGGTGTTTACCAGTGTACTACGCCATGTAAACTCTGTCGGTGGCCCTCAAAATGACACCATCGAGTTAAAACCCACCGCGGACAAATGCTTCCATACGTCCACAAGAACAGATATTAAGAGATGTTCACCTGTGAAGTATTCCAGGCATATCTTGTACAGTTTAAAGCGAAGGAACGGATATCCTGACGGCAGTGTTATTGTGCTACTGAAATCACTGAACATATTCCATGCTCGTAGTCGTAGACAAGGACATCATATACAGAAGCCCGTCAGCACCATCACCTCCAGTAGAAAACAAAAAGAAACCTACCCCTGACAGACCGTAGCAATACACTGAAGCTCGCCGAATATGGTAAGGTCTCCACACCTTCTTACTCTTCAACGTCAATTTCCTCGCCAACAAATTTAATGAGATCACCACTACAGTCAAGTTAGTTACTGCCAACAGAGTTGCCATCTGTGAAGCGTGGCAAATTGTTCCTGAAATTTGCCACATTGAGGGATATCAACTCCTTTACCACCTTCGTACATATGGACGGACGGAGGGATGAACTATTTCCGTCATGCCTGGGTGTTTTAGTATCAGTGTATGTGGAGGCATTATGGGTACGTATTGAAGTGCAAATTTTTAAGGTACCGGAGCTGTCAAAATAATTTCCTTTTCCTAAACCGTATCTATTGATGCATATATATATATATATATATATATATATATATATATATATATATATATATATATATATATATATATATATATATATATATATATATATATATATATATATATATATATATATATATATATATATATATATATACGTATATATATTACTATTTTAAGTGTTTAGAAGTGCACCTGTTATCAAAGTCTTTCTACAATATTGATAAGTCATAAAACGTAAGCTGATCTGAAGGAGAGATTAATTATATAAGGATATATTCAGTTTTGTATATGTATTATTAATGCAAAATAAAGTTGAGTGCTTGATTGATATAGATTTATAGTAACATATAGAGCTTACTATAACTTCATGTATGAAGTGAGATGTGGTAGAGTGCATGAAGGGGAATACACTAAGGTGGTATGGACATGGGCCGAGGATGCATGAAGACAGGCTGACAAAAAAAGTTTTTGATAGCAAGAGAGGTGAATATTGGGAGGAGTAGACCAATCGCTACCTGGGAGAAAAGAGTTAGAGAGTTTGTTGAAGAAAGAACGGGAAGGGGAGGGGGAGTGTTTCAGAGAGCAAGTGATGTGTGCAAGGAAAAAATGGCCTGGAGACATTTTTGCCATGGCCACCCCCTGTTGGGGAGTTCCCGGGAGGGAACAAGGCGTCGTCGATATTGATTGATTGATTGATCAAAACAGAGGTGCCGGAGCAGCGCTCCGGTGAGCTCCGGCAGCACTGCATCCCTGATTACGGGTACGTGTTGTGCCACGTGCCTTACCGCGCCACACTGCCTCCATCCTAGACAGTCATCAAGAGGCACCAAAGGGGGATGGTCACACTCTCTCGCTCATCTGACCTGACCTGGCTTGTGTGCCTTAGCTATCTGGGTATCTCGACCCTATAAATGTGGACTGTATAAGTACCATAACCAAACTATATAGAGGAAAATACAGTGTGACGTTACACAGTGAATGTGGCACCCGGGCCTCCGCCATCAAGGTTGAGGGTAGAAGTCAGGAGACTCACCGCTTACCTCTCACATACATATGGGACCTTAGAGATCAACTTACCTCGCATCAAGAGAAGGTTACGCCTCCCTACTACCAATTCAATTTCCATTTCAATTTCAACTGTTTGTTCCTTGATACAGGAAGCGGGATCCTAGTGCTGTCACTAGGTACCCCTGTACAATGACACCAGAAGCATCTGGCAAGTGTGACAAATATATACAGTATAAATATTATAAAGGGGCTTACTAAAGTCTAAGGAAGGAAGGATATTCCTTTAACACATAATCAATGTTATTTACATAATATCTGGCCAGTATGGGGAGGATCATCGTGTCTCCGTCAGGGGGTCGTGGAGTGGTGGTCCAGCAGGCGTCACGGAAACGTTGTGTGTGGGGACATCTTAGGAGGTAGTGGATAAGGGTGCTGCTGTCGGGTCTTCTGCATAATGCACAAGAGCGTTGCTCAGGGGATGCGGGGATACCAATCTCCCAAGCAAAGTCATACCCAATGATGATACGGGCAGCAATCACGTCCCCCTTCCGCGACCCTTTCCCGTAGACGTACGAGAGGTCAGGAAGTTTACGGAGGACATCGTACCAGGTGGGCGGGGAGTCCAAGGGGATGGCTGCTTCCCGAGCTTCTCTCTGTTTGAGGCGAATTTGGGTCCTAATCTGTAAGAGTGTTCGAGGAACAACGTAGTCAGGTGTGGCCTTGTTGCAGCCAGTCTTGGCAAGGCCATCTGCTGCCTCATTCCCCAAGATACCGACATGACTGGGTATCCATAGGAATGTCACAGGACGGCCTGCATCCTGAAGTGTGGATGTTAACCCTCGTATTCGGAGGATGAGGTCCTTATTTTCCCCTGATCCAAATGCGATCCCGTCGAGAGCAGACCTGGAATCGCAGCAGACAAGCAAGGGGCAGAAACCATCTGCTTCTTCCTCAGCGAGAAGGGCAGCAAAGAGGGCTATTAGTTCAGCCTGAGTGGAGGATGCCCCGTCAGAAACTTTGAGAGACAGTTTGATAGGCTCAGGGGCATCAGGACGGGAGATGTAGACACCAGCCCCGGCCCGACCTGTAGCGGGGTCAACAGAACCATCAGTGTAGAAGACGAACCTACCTGGGGACCAGTGGGCGATCCTGGAGAGGTGGTATTTGCAGAGAATAACAGGGTTCACGTGGGATTTCGGGAGCGGTCCACCGAGGGCAATCACTTCAGGTTGAAAATCCAGCCAGGTAAAAGGAGACGAACCAACAGCAGGGGTGACAACAATATCAGGCAGGAGGTCGTGTTCCTGAAGGGCTCGGATGAGTGACCCTCGCCCCAGTCTGTAGTCTTAATGGGATGTACACCCGAGGTGTGAAAGAACAAATGTTTATGGTCTGTCCACCCAAGGAGGTGTGAAAGAACAAATGCTTATGTAGCTGTATGCTCAATGTGTCTACATGTGACAGAGGCTAATACAATAACTGTATAACCTAACTTAGCCAAAGAAGCCATTAGGACCTGACAGAATCTCCAGTATGTAAACCTAACCAAACCCAACGAAACAAACGAATAGACAATCGAACCTAATGAGCCGAACCTGAAATCGAAAATACAGAAGAACTCGACAATATAAATTTCCGACAAAAATGATATGAATATATACTGCATATACAGAGTATATATATATATATATATATATATATATATATATATATATATATATATATATATATATATATATATATTCATAGCTCGTTTTAGGAATGCATAATTCAAGAGTAAATGTACAAAGTATGTAACTGATAATAGACTTATATAACTGCAAATAACTGTACAATATAACAACATAAGAACTTAAGAATGGAGGGAACTGCAGGGAGCATATTGGCCCATACTGGGCAGTCCTGTTTACACACAACCCCTATTGCTCATATATCCATCCAACCTTTATTTGAAGCTATCCAGTGTATTCTAGTTAAAGATGATGTTTGGTAATTTTTTCCACTCATCCACTACCCTATTTCCAAACTGTATGTATATTATGTATGTTGTATGTATGCCATGCATGTACTCTATATATACACATTATTTCTCCAGTCAGTAGCGTGTGGCAATGCCCCCGTTTCATGTCACCACACGCTTAGATAAATGTGCCTGGCGACATCTGGAAGCTGCTAGTATACCACTTACCACATGTCGCCTGAGAGGTCAGAGTGAGGTCAGTTGACCCTATAGGAGTGTAAGGACTACCTGCGCTTGTAAGCGCACTCCTGTATATTTCCGTTAATAAGAACTCTACAGAACTCTAAAGGTGTTTATGTTCGCCCCTGTAGTTAGAACTAAGTACCCCGAACATCTCCATGGCGCAGTAAGTATCAAGTGATCGATTAAAAAAGTGGAAATATGTGCGTTCGTGTAAAATCAAGGCCGGTAGACCTCCTCCGTCAACTCCGTCATCTGTCGCCATTGTCTCCCCCAAAAATTCGTTTGAATGACCAACGAGTTTTGAGCAGTGTGCAGTGACCGCAATTTCCTGTGAAGTGTCTTTAAGTGCCCCTCGTGTGTGTGTAGTGTTAAAGTGTGTGTCCTTGTTTTAAAGGATTCCCTAAGGTGGAAGGCTGATATAGGGCATTTGTGAGGAGTGGTGCGTCAGCGCAACCGTCCCAGGCTGCCTCAAGGGTAACTCACCCCCCACTGCTCACCCTCCTCGCGCCTCGCCTCCCTCCGCGCTCCACCGCCTACACACACCAACCCACGCACG